CAGCAAATGATGGGCTAAAGTATATCTACTTTTTCATCTTAAACGCATTTTTTTCTTATTTTTTCGTATCGTTAGATTATGTTTTAATATCCAATGAGGCTCCAGCTTTAAATCTTGTGATTGTTCGCTCCCAGTCAGTGCACATCATTGGGGTCAAAGAAGGCCAATCTTGAATGGAAACAATGTCAAGAAAAAACGGTTTAGACAACAAGAATAACGTTAATGTGGTTTAGGAAATTTATAAAAGAATAAAACCTCAAACGGCTGACTTCAAACGTCTGAACTGAGAGAAATTAGTTAATGTTAGCTTTGACGTTTGAATCCGTTGAGTTCGTCCAATTGATTTGAATCGACATCGACTGTTTGCTTTGGACGGATAGAGCGTGTGACTGAAGATCGATTGTAAGACAAACCGCGATCTTTTCCATAAACCAAACCTAATAAATAAATAGCAAATTACTTAATTTGAAATCCAGCAGATCGAAGGGTTTTTTTCGGGCGCTCTGAATTTGGCTCGACGAATCATGTTTGACGTTTGATCCAACGGTCGAACTTTACCCTTTTTCGGTCGACCAAATTTGCAATTTTGTACGTCTCATGTAAAGTTCTACGTTTAAACTTGACTTAAATATATGCTAGATTTTTATTACCAGAAAAGCTACTGACCTTATTATCAAGATTATGACCCGCCATTGCATGCATTTTTTCGTGGGCAAAACTTGGCGACTTGTTTCTTCTGCTGGCTGTTTTTTTGTTTGTTTGTTTGTTTTTGGTTAACTTCTTAACAACTATTTGGTATTTGTCTGATGAATACCTATTTGCAATAACGTTGTCATAGCAAAAAAACCCAAAACAAATAAAAATGGGAAAAAGCCATTAAGGAATTTATTAGCGTATAAAATTAACCTCTGTCCATATTCCCGGCAGCCAAACAATTTTCACAGAATTTTCACATATCAATTCTTTTAAACATTTTTGAGAGCTAGTATCACATGTTGTTAGAAGAAAAATATACTGATATGTTCTACTAATGCTGTGGGCTTGTGCTATATTCTAATAAATTTCAATTTGGCTTTTCCTTTCTTTTGTTTTTTTCATTTTTTTATGGCAAAGCTGTTACAATTAGGTACGAATGGAGAAGCAATAATTTCAAGGTGTCCATTTATGAGGGTCTCAAAGGGGTTGACCGTTAGCCGTAAAACGGCCAAAATTTTTAGCCGCCAGGCGTAAAATTGACAAATTTTAATCACGGTAAGTCGTAAAAAAAAATTGACCGAGAAAATGTTTTCATTTTAATCACAATAGAAGGTTAATAACCGTTAGGCATAAAATGGCCAAAATTTTAGCCGTTAACTGTAGAAGCCATTACCCATTGAGGCCTTTATATACACCAACTTTCTGCCTCGTGAAATTACTTTGGGTTATACATGGGTACGGGCTCATGCTTTTTTTAAGGTGCATCAATTTGTTTTAGTGGCATCTACCTTATTTCTGAGCAAAACCATCAGTTGCGACTTTGCGCTCAGCTCGAATTTGTTAGCTTCTTATCGACCTTCTCTGTATCAACGTTTACTTCCTTGGAGTCCCTCTCCTGCCTTTCTTTAACGACTGTTTGCTCTTTCCCTGCAGTGGTTGCCTCTCGCTTTACAGCTGTGCTGCTCTCAGCAGTGCTTCGCCCTCCACGAGGTCCAGATGCGTCAGCAGTGTTTTTGCCAACGCTTCTCCCTCCCCGTGGCCCATCATTAGTTTCTCCAGAACTGGCGGCCCACATTGATCCTTCTGATAAGATGCCTCTTCCACCGCGAGGGCCTGCCATGGCACTTCTGCCTCCGCGAGGCCCATTTTCAAGGTCACGTCCTCCACGTGGACCGTTTGAACTCTCCGTAACAGTGGTACTACGTCCTCCTCGAGGTCCAGATATGTCCCTCCCGTTACGTGGCCCACTGTAAAGGTACTGTCCACCACGGGGTCCATACTCCACTTCTCGCCCTCCTCGGGGTCCTGTCTCGAATTCCACACTCCTACCCCCTCGTGGCCCCGTCTCAAAATAAACAGCCCGTCCACCTCGTGGACCAAAATCATAGAATCCTTCCTCTTCTGAATATTCTAGGTCACGACCTCCCCTGGGGCCGAAGTCAATTCCTCCAGCGGCTCTCCCTCCTCTAGGCCCGTAGACGTCTACATACTCTAGGTCTCTACCTCCACGGGGACCGTATTCAAAGTCAGTGTCCCTTCCACCACGTGGACCCTCGGATTCTACGAATCTTCTATCCCGTGGTTCGTACGCTAAGGATCTCCCCCCTCTTGGACCAAAAACGACATCGTATAAAAGTGAACGACCTCCACGTGGGCCAAAATCTACCGAACGACCACCACGAGGACCATATTCTACAGCCCTTCCTCCCCGGGGACCGTATTCGACAGCCCTACCTCCCCTGGGACCGTAATCTATAGCCCTACCTCCCCGAGGACCAAAATCTATGGCTCTTCCACCTCTGGGTCCGTAATAAATTTCTCTCCCACCACGAGGTCCATAATCTATATCCCTTCCTCCTCTGGGTCCGTAGTAGACTTCTCTACCACCTCGAGGTCCATATTCAATAGCTCTTCCCCCCCTGGGTCCATAGTCGATTGTTCTTCCACCTCTTGGTCCATAGTCAACTGATCTACCACCCCTTGGGCCGTATTCTATCGCTCTGCCACCCCGAGGTCCATACTCAATAGCTCTTCCACCCCTGGGTCCGTAGTCGATCGCTCTACCACCTCTTGGTCCATAATCAACTGATCTACCACCCCTCGGTCCATAATCAACTGATCTACCACCCCTTGGGCCGTATTCTATCGCTCTTCCACCACGAGGGCCATAAAATACAGATCTTCCTCCCCGAGGACCGTATTCAATAGCCCTCCCTCCCCTGGGGCCAGCATCAATAGCTCTTCCACCCCGTGGGCCGGACTCTACTGATCTACCTCCCCTCGGGCCATCATTTTCAACTGACCTGACTCTTTCCTCCCTGGGGCCTTTCTCTCCCACATCTCTACCACCCCTCTGGTCATTGGTTGCAGACTGGATATCTCGTCCTCCACGGGGTCCGTTAGCCTCATCCGCTTTGCTTTTTGTGTCTGAAACTGCTCGTCCGCCTCGTGGCCCTGTTTCTGCAGTTGACAATGCGTCCGATTTCTGACTTGATTTATCGACGCTTCTTCCACCCCTTGGTCCACTGGCATCTGTACTTCTTCCTCCACGGGGCCCGACGTTTGTATTTGACAAATAAGAGGAATCTTCTACACTCCTTCCCCCACGGGGTCCAATGTCGCTTTCCACTGATCTTCCCCCACGGGGTCCAATATTACTTTCCACAGATCTACCCCCACGAGGTCCAATATTACTTTCCACAGATCTACCCCCACGGGGTCCACTGTCGTTCTCAACCGATCTCCCTCCACGAGGCCCAGCTCCAGTTGCTACAGATCTTCCTCCTCGGGGTCCACGGTAGACACTCCTCCCCCCTCGTGGACCATAGTATGCACTTCTTTTCCCTCGAGAGTACAGTGAGCGTTTATAATCTCCGTCTACGTTCTGATAGTATTCCTCAGGCGGCTCAAAGGGGCCATACCATTCTTCATAAGTGGGATAGTTCAATTCGTATTCCCTTCCTTCAAAGTCCCTCGGGTAAACTGAACCGTAGTATAAGTATTCGCCCTTGTTCTCAGAATTGTTGTTTTGATTTTCTTCCTTTTCAGCCGACCTGGAACTCCTGTCCTCTTCTTCAATACTGTAGGAGTTTTTCACCGATCCAACATTGTTGTAAAAGACTTCGTCTCTTTTCGCAACGGTTTTCTTCTGTTGAGTCGTTTGTTCTTCGGCAAACACTCTGGTCAGACTGAGAATGCAAAAAAAGAGCGCTAATGCTCCGTTCTTCATGTTACTTGACAACGGCGAAATTATTTGTAATCCAGCAGATAACTCTCCCGAACAATTACTTCAAAGAAGTTTAAACAAGTATGATAAACCAAGAAAGTTTTTAGCGCTTAATTTGGAGGTCAAAGCGCCAGAACTTTTAAGCAGGCAACATTTCACCTCTGTGTCCTTATATCATCGTTTTCACTGCGTCAATAATTGATGATGTCTTGAGCCAATTTCATCTCGCGCAATATGACATGTGCGTAACAGAGTTTCTTACGCTAGCGTAAAAACCACAACGATACACCGCCGCTTGATAACAGAGCTGACAAAAACAAACTATGCGTATTCCCTCATACTCCAAACTCAGTACAAACACAATCCTTTCCCTAATCCTAATTAAGTACGGATATCTTAGTAGCAAAAATACGATATTCCTTCAAAGAGCGATGGCTACGCCTTGTTCTACCACGCATTCCGTGGGGGATTTTGCCAGATGGGCAAAGATTTTCGGTGGTTTTGGATGTGATGGTGGACTGAAAAAGGCTATCGCAATCGATAAGAGAACTCATTCTTTTTTATTCTTAATTGGAAAGATCTTTTCTGTTCCTTGTAGAAACCATTAATCTGTAATCAGGAAAAATTGAAAATCGTGAATAAAATGCTGTTTGTTTGACTGTCTGTTTTTTTTTTTATTTGGATGTTTCTTTTCCCTTTTTTTCGGTAAGAAGGGTAAATAAGTTTAATGGCCAACCGCCTGTCTGTAGATAGTCTAAACTCGATTCGTAGTTCATTTTTTGCCACTTTTTTTGCTCAGTTTTCTTCAACTCCTTTATTGATCAATCGAATTCTAAAAAAGTCTGAGAATTACAAAGAGCAGAAACAAAAGATTGAAAATTATCGCGTGATGGTTTTATTTTATACAATATTTACGAAATTTGGTAGAAACATGATGTTTTACATACGGATATATAAACAATTTAAATTTTATTATGAACACGGGGGAAATAGAACGATTGACATTTGGACAAATTTCTGTCACTCAAAGAATAATATAAGAAAACGAATAAGGATTATTGAAGTTAAGTATTTGCGCTTTGTGTAAGCTTCAGACGCGACATTAATCGTCATTGTTTTAGTGAGCAACTGGTCCCCAATGTTGCTTGTGAATTTTGAGTTTTATTTCCCTCCATAGTATTTATTTCAGAAAGTTAGCAAAGGCGTCCAAGAAACGCCCACTGTTTTATAAGGGGAATGTTTTAATCGGTGTAATTATAATTTAGAGTTTGCCACCAAAATAATGATATGCAGAGTAAGTTTTGAAAGAAATATTTGCAATTTTGAAGCCAGCTTTTGTCTTGTTGCTTATAACTCGAAAGACTACGATGTAAACTTTTTAAATTTCTAGCATTTATTGGGTTGAATTCCTTGGTTTTCCTCACGGAACTCATACGCACTTTTTTTCGATCGATTTGCTTTGCAGTTATTGGTCTTATTTACGTTGATACATTTCCGACCACTAGTATTTTTGTCCGTATTTCTCCGACTAAGGACTTCTCTTCATTACACATTTTTCTTAGAGCGTGACAACTCAGATTGCCTTGCCATTACTATTCCAGAAAGAAGGCGCGCAAATGGAATTTAAAAAAATTAAATTAAGGGGCTATCTGGGTTTCTTTATTACTCCGGTTTGCAGTTATTGTTCCAATGCGGTGAACTTTTGCAATTGTCAAAATTCCTTTTTCTTTTCTTTTTTTTGTTTTGTTTTTTGTTTTGGGGTCGGGGAGGGGTTGGGAAATGATTCAGGTAACATGGCTTAATAACTAATATCAATATACGGCAACGTCGTCACTTTAGACCCGACGCAAAGTTTTCCTGCGTTGGAGAAAAAGACAATTTTCGTCATCAACGAAACAGTTGTTCTCTCGTGGTCTGATTGCACCTGGACTTTTCCCAATAACATCTGTGATTGAACAACCACAAAACTGTGGCTTCAACCGAGGAGGGGATTTTCCCACTAGATCTTACAGATGCTAAAATTAGATATCGCGGTTCTGAAATTCATAAACCAAAAAAATATATAACTTATTCAAGACGTAAGTAGCAGTAAGAATACGCAAGAAGTTGGTGTTTTTATTGAATAGTTATCGTGGCCGCAACTATTTGACGTATTTCGCACGGTGTTCGAAGTATGTGAAGGACTTCATTCGGGACGGGCCAAAAAAGACTACAAATAGACTAGAAGAGAAATTAAAAAGTTGATGTCAGCATAGAAAATGACAGAGTTGTTTTGAATTGACCTACTTTTCTAGTAGTAGACAAGTTTACAAGCGAGTTTCAATAATAACTCTTATCCTGTGTTACAAGTGATGGTCGGTTAATTTGAATGTTGCGACGTAATTGTGAAAACTTGGTAGAGATCAACTGAAATTCCTGTTTTAGTCGGTGGAAAAATCACAGAAATGATAGGAACTGGTGGGTTGGCAGAAGAGACTTGTTAAATCACCTAGTAGTTTCTTTCAAAGGTGAGAATCTCAAGACTTAAAAACTTTGAATCAACTTTAAATAGTTGAACTACAGAAAAATTACATTACTGATGCAAACTCACGTAGATGTTTCTATAGTGAGTTTCAGAAAGGCAGTTTTCAGTCTTTTTCGGAACAATCTCTGACTGCAATGTAATATATGGCACCGATTTCTCCAATAATAATGGAAATTGGAGGTGTTATCTTAAGTGTTTCAAAACAAGGAAATGATCAGGATAACCAAAGGGGGAACGTTGGCAAATCTCCATATCATTGACAATTAAAATCAACTTATATAGTTTATGTTTTCGCTCAATTAAAATTAAAACTCAATTTAATTTTCTATACTGAGGGCAAAAATAAATTTGAACATGTCTGTATAATACATGCACATCTGTCGACAAGAGAGTCACGAATACATGGTCATAAGGGTACTGTTATCGTATCTCGAAGGAAGTCTTGAGTATTTCATTACTTTATAATATGCAGGCCTCTTTAAGATTAATCCCCGCAGAATTTGCGATAAGTAGACATCATTTTAAGAACAAAGAAGAGAAAAAAAGGTTTTTGCAAAGCTGACGAGATAACAAACCATGATCTTGGTATTGAGACGGTTGAAATTTTTTCTGGATTTTAAACCAGTTCAATTTGTTTTACGTTGCCTCAGATTTCGGTAACAGATTAAAGGCAAATGAAAAAATAAAAACTGCGTCCCTTATGAGATCCTTGCTGGTATCGACAGTAGGTGCTTTTTTTTTTACCAATCTGATTGCGCATTTGCCAATGATCGGAGAAGTTGGCATTCAGACCCAAAGCCACTGTTTCGTACGTCTGCTTTTCTCGTCTACGCCAAAATTTCTTACCTAGCAGTTCAATGTTTCCTGCGATCTGGAACATAAATTGCCAAGCTTTGTTAAGACAGTTATTGTAATAACCTTTGTACTTGGTAACCTGTTTCAAACATTCTGAGATATCGAAATGTATCTGCTTTGCATTTTACATTTCACGGACGTGAGATTTTCTTGGACGCTAAAGATTAGTCCACGTTTCGATAACTATTCCATTAATCTCATCTGCGCTGCTGAAATCTTCCAGTTGATGACAAGGATTTTCGATGAAATTGTAATATATGTTCTTGAAGATTTCAGCTACGTTAAACGGTTATACAACATCGTTTCATCCCTAGAATACTAAACGAAAGCGTGTGATGTCACTTCAAATATGATGAAATGAACTTAATCCCGTAGCTTTTAAATGAAAGGCCTCACACCGGCTAATGCTCTCAAAATATTCTAAGGACGAGAAAAATTTTCTTAATGGAGTTTCGAAAGTAATTCTGGGTTAAGCTGAATGGTTTTACTTCCCTTCGCTTTCTGATTGGTCCAGAAAACTCCACTCACCTGTAAACCAATCAGACTTCAAAGTAAACCCAATCACAATTTGGTCACCTGCGTTTTCCCGCCCTTAATACATTGAGTTCTCATTGGCTCCTCTCTACATTTTCTTCAGCTCTAATTGGCTGTTGCGATAACTTTAGTTTTGCTTAAACGAGATTCAATTCAAATGCTCTCTAATGACGTGCGTCACGCGAAAACAATTTTATTGTTCCTTTAGACGGAAATGGTAATATACTGAAGGACATTTTGTAAATTCTGAAAAGTTACATTATACAACCACCATTATGTATTATTTGGATATATACCTGGATATATATATGAGAACGACTCAGGAAATAAAATGGTGAAAAGGCAATAATTTAAACAAGAATAATTTAAATTAAATACTAGGTTAAGTCTTTTTCTTTCCTTCAGCCATGAAGAAGAGTTTTATAGTATACACCAAAGTCAAATATAAATTCACCCTCATAAAGTAAAGTTCTACAAATGACGCACATGACCTTTAAAATACTTCCATTTCATATTCACTGCACAAATTAAAATTGGTTGATTGACAGTTTACTAATTAAATAATAATTTAAGTGGGTACTCTTAGTGTTTAATCTTCATGCATGTAATCAAACTCCAACCTAAGTTCTTCCAACTAAAGTACATCTTCTCCAAAACCAACTTTTCTTTCACAGACTCAACTCACTGGAGGAAGATCATACTTTAAAACACATGCACTGAAATACTCCAAGCCATGTTGAAGCCTTTCTGTATAGAAACAGCAAGATACCAGGTTTTTAGTTGGGTTTGTTAAATCATGTTGGTTTAGTTAATGGAAGCTTAACTAAAGGTCAACTTTGGTAACTCTGATTTTTTTTTATTGATGGTCCCTAGCAAAACTGTCAGGCAACAACTTGACAACAGCCAATCCCCTGTTGCACTGGATTTGCAATCATAAGGAAGAAAATTAACACCTGAGTGCAGCTTGTTAACATGGCATTCTTAAAAAAAACTGGTGTTTTTGTTCTGTAGACTATGACCAAATTATGCTTGCATGCAGTGTACATGTACATGTGCATGTAGCATGCATAAATCAGGTCCAAAGATTTCTGCATGTATGCATGCACTTTAAATTGTAGGGATACATGTAGAATGCCTCTCAACAGATGCAGAGGATCACTGCATGCATTTAAGGCCTCATGAAGAGGCACCCTGAATGCAAGAAAAAACTGGCAAAAACAATAGCAATTGAAATTATTATCATAAGAAATATTTACAACTCATTGTGGAATTCAAAGCTAAAGTATCTACTTGTCATAAATTCAAAAATCATATTCCTTCCATAGAATACATCAGATAATAATATTTCAGTAACATTCTATTATATTCGTTAAATTACAAAAACAATTCACTATAAATCAATGCCTGCATAAGCTAGAACCACAAGGGTTAGGTAAAGTAAAACTAAAAATCCTACAAGAATCCACCAGTAACTATATTCGCCTGAAAAAGAAATGAAGATCAAACTGTTATGTTTTTCTCAACATGGACTAAGGAAATGTGGTTGCTTAACTCAGTTTTTCCCTATAATATCCGTGCTCCTTTTAAGGGATATAAAAGCTGATCTGGTTGAAGTAATTAAATTAATACATTTTGTTGTTGTTGTTGTAGTTGGTTTTTATGCATACTGTAAGAACACTTTTTCTGGTGGCCTTCCCTGAATAGCCATCGTTTTTCTTTCCTCTTTGGCCTAGAAAGTCACAAACCCTTGTAACATGTAACAAAACTGCAACTACATGCAGTATCTTAGTTTCAGATACAGTGCAAAAAATATCTTAACAACCACCAATTGACCAAGCTGATGGGCTAGAGTTAGGGTCAGCATTTGAGGAAATAACAGGATGTTCTTTTTTTCATTCTATTTATCATCATAATTTTTTAAATCTTACGTTTTAACTTGGTGGTATGTCTCAGTCTTTCTGACATTATGGCATCAGTTTGTCTAACTGTTATATTAAATTCTATTTTGAGGTTCAGTGAATTGGATTTAATCTGAGGCAATTAGATTGTAATAGTAAAAACAATTTATTTGTACCTCTTCTTTTAAGGGTAGTAACTTTACAAGCATTGTCAGCAGATATACTAAGCAATGCAAACTCATTGCGCAGGTGATCATTGATGAGTGGAGAACTGGGAAGGAATGTTAGTCCTGTGACGAAGATGTTGTGAACACCCTTAAGAGTAGTCAAGGGCTGCAGACAGAAAGAATATAATTGTTTCTAAGAAAATAATGACAAACACTTTCATCATGGAACCTCTACAATTGACTGAAGGAAATTTACATAAGCATATGATACATGAAATTCATCACTACATTATACAATGAAATAACCAAAACTAATGAGGTCTTAAAGTGCGGAGGCAGGACATTGTCCTTCCACATGTATATCAATGACTGATGGTTTTTAGACATCCACATCAGATTCAACCTTCCTACCCTTTATCATTGTTGTCCCAAGAAACATCCTGTAAGGCAATCCTTCTGGCTACAGATTAAACCAAAATATTTAATACCTAAATATTGTGGCTGGAAAGGAATCAAAATGAAGCTATAGTCGGAAAGAATTTTTCCATTTCTCAGTGCATAAGTCTTGTACTTCAAGTTAAACAAAACCTAATTCATTAATTAAAATTCACATGATACTTACAGCCAGATTCCATGCAATGTAAACTGAGATATCACCTTCTGCTGTTCCAACTCCAACAAATATCCCATTTCCACTGAGGAAAAAGTCAAACCAATATATGAATGAAATTAAAGGCTAATTATAGCTAAATTGCTCCCTCTAAGGATGGAAAAACACCACCATAAAATACAGTGTAGCTGTCAAATGGCATATACATGTACAACTTTTTAAATAAAATCAAATTCGCAGGTTACATACATGTATAGGGGTGGGAAGATTGGACCTTTGGCAACTGTACCTGATAGCCATTTGTGTGAGAGGTTCAATACCAGCAGCCTGACTCAGTTGTGGCAGCCATTTTGTGCAGTCCCACTTGACTAAGTATGAAGGTGTTGGAGCCTTTCTATTGAACTTGGATGGCACATTTATTGTAAACAGACTCCATTCCTTTCTTTCATTGCTAGAAAACCTGCCAAAAAGGGATAAAAGAATTTAGATATTTAAATCAATTGTCATTACCATGGGTGCTTTTATTTCCTAAATGAAAAACATTGTTCTTGTTCTCTCAATTCCAATTTTACTCCTTAAAAAAAGGGACAATTTTCAAGAAATGATTTCAAAAAAGAAGATTAAACTTTTCATACCTGCATGCCCTGATTCTAAAGAAGTTATCTTCATTGTTAACAGAAAAATACAACTGGAATTGTTTTTTGCCTTCTTCCAGCCTCCACACATAAGCTGTTGTGTCTCTTGAGCATGTTACAAACTGTGAATATAGACAATAAAATTTAAAAAAAACTTAAACAAATATGTTAATAGAGCTTACAATTATGTGCACATAACCAGGCAAGAATACTAATTTTCATCTTCAGGTGATGTTGCACATAAAGAATCATATTAGTGACAGATAAATCCGTACCATTAAGACAAAAAAATACATAATATAGATCAACATAAGGCCATAAAAAGTTTTTATTTTATTTTCCATAGGGTAATTGTCCAACCAAGAGATATCAATTTTGCCATTTGCATGTGGTTTGAGATCCTGGTGAAACACTGGAATGAGGCATTATCCACGAGTTTTATTCTTCTTCAAACTCTTGACTTTAATAAAGCATCAAACTCTAGCGAACTCATTTCTTGATTTGAATATCAATGACACATGTTTGAATTCTTCATGACAAGATGTGAAAAATTCCTGAACATTTCCATTTTCTTTATTCCTGAGGTGCTCTTGAGGAGCTCTTTCAAAAAACTTGTGCCACACGTTTCATAAGGATTCCCAAACACTTGAAAAACAGTGACCCCAGCATAGTGCTTTCATCTGTTTCCCAGTAAAAACTCTAACGAAACACTCACACTCACTTTCTTAAAGTAATATAGGATCATGTCAAAGGTGACCTTTTATATTTTAAGACTGTCTTTGATTAGTATTATTTTTTAAAGTTTGACTAACTGAATTTTCCTTGCAGGCTAAATGAACAATGTGTTGGGGATTATTGAGTTTATCATAGTGCATGCTCATACCTGACGTGAATTAGGATGTACATCTAAATCATCAACATCTGTTGTGTGAGCTTTTATATCATGGATACTTTCCAAGGAGGGATACTAAAGCAAAATGAGCAAAGAGATAAAATAAAACAAAAAAAAGGGCAAAAAACATTATACCAAAAAAACATTTTTCTATAGTGTAGTGGCCTATATCAGTTTACATATAGATACCGCAGATACAAATGTCAGGGTGTAAACTAGTTTCTCCTTACAATATCACCCCTGAATCACACATGAAGGTTACAAGAATAAAGGAAATGATCACCAAGTACAGACACTCTTCCTTGTTAACCAAATGTTCCTAGTCAGTACCTTAGGACATGTATAGAGAACAGTATAGAGAATATGCCTCCTGATGTTTACGCATAAAGGATTGAATTTGTCAGATCTGAATAACCAAACAAAACTGATACCAGACAAAGAAGACTCCTCAACCACAAATTACATTAAAATTACAAAAATTAAGGAGAATCATAAGCTCAAAATAACATTTGGAAATTCCCTTTTACCTTCAGAACCCTAACATGCCCATCAGATCCTCCAGTAATAATGTGCTGTCCATCTGCTGTGAATCGCACAACTTTCTGAAAACCTACATCATCATCATCTTTTGAATCATTGTCCTCTGCTGAAACTGTCACTTTAGATTCTAATTCTTTGACAATAAATTCTTGTGTCTTTTCTTTGACAATAACTTTTTTTTTTCCTTTCACTTTTTCAGTGTTCTTTACTTCCTCCTTCATATCAATCTCAAGTAACTGACATTTATTGTCCATTCCAACAGCAATGACATTTGATGTTGGATGAATCGCACAATTCATAATTGGCCTCCTCCCAGCTTCAAAGTTATGGACTAGTGTTGCTTTGAGTTCTTTACTGTTTCGGCCAAGCTTGTAAATATTCTAAAAAAAAAGAGAGAGATTACTACACTGTCAGGATAAAAATTCTGCTGTTGCCTAATCTGATCTCATTGAACATAAGTTCAATGTTAAAATAATACAAAGCACACAGTACTGTTTGGTACAAAATTCAGAGGTCCTTAGTTCAAGTACAATATACCAAACTTGTAAATGGACAGTTGAAGTTAGTTTGCCTCGTTAATTGCAAACTCGATTATAACTTAAACATATATTATTTTGGAACTTTTGATACATACATTTTCCCTACAAAAAAGATACGATTTTCCCCATATAGTTTACATCTACTATCATCCCACGTTGCCCTTGCTCACCGCAAAAATAAGACTCTACACCTGTATAAGCTTGTAGTTAAAACTTTGATTTGAAGAGTACCACGATCACATGAACTGTACGTTCTTTTGAACAATGAGTCGAGGAGTAGAATCAATTTATCGAATGAAATGTAGACGAATCCATGAAAAAAAAGATTAAACACAGAAAAAAAATAATAAACAGACACAGCAATACGACATGAACTATAAAATATTTGTAAAAATCAGTGTAAACAAGTAAAGAGCGAAAATACAAACCAAAGCATTTGGGACCCCGGTCTTCGCCGCCCCTCCACCACCGGCGATCAAAAAATGATCCTTATCTAGGACGTTCACGGCATACAGAGGAAAATTCGTTGTCTCTAAAGTTGTGAAAGACATCTTCCTAAGAATTTACTAACGCTGATTATTCTACAAGTCAAAAGTTAAAAGATTCTGTCGCAAAGGTCTTCATTTAGTCAAAGTATTCGACGTGGCTCGCGCGGTTACATTGCTTATGGTTATAACCGCTGATTGGTGTTTCCTTTGTTCGCGGGAACGTTTCAGACAAAGGATATATGAAAGTGCGCATGCCCCTGACTTTTATCATTTTTATCTGTTGTTGCGAGAGAGCATCCGCGCGAGTTTTCTGGAAGAATTAAGGATTAAAGAAAAGCAAAATCAATGTAAATAATAGTCCTTGTCTGTTTTTTAGTTTGTTCTGTCTTTTGTTCCATATCCATATCCATTTGGCCATTCTACATTTGCATAAATTATGGAAAGTGTCAAGACACTATTGTATTTTGAACATTTGCCTCGGGAAAACATAACGCTAATTGCGTGACTCAGACATATGTGAAATGATTCTGTCCTCCACTTGATGCAGTAAAGATTTAAGTAACACACGACCTAACTTCGCACCGATATAGCAAAGGTATTTATCTTCAAGTTATTTACACAACAGTAACCAAGAATTAGAAGCCATGACTAGTAACACAGTCCTTATCGGAGCTGCAGTGTGCTCCTCGCTTGCCGTCGGCTACCTTCTTGGTAAACTCCACGGCTCGTGCCGATATGCAGACGACTATATTCAAAGGCCCGGTAGAGAGTACAAGAAGACTGCTGGATTGAAAACGTTTCTCGAATATGTCGCCAAATACTCCTCTGCAGAGCATCATACAGTCACTGAACTGAGGAGGGTGAGTATTGAACTTTCTAAAGAGAATATAAACTGCCTTTCTCAAGAGAAAATAACGTTAAAGTGCTAATGACACGAAATTTTTTGTGTATTTTCTGGTTGATAGCGATATTTTAAATTAGAAATAATCGACCTTGGCGCCTGGCGAGTTCTCCTTGCTTGGGGTTAGGGTTTAGGGTTAGGGTTAGGGTTAGGGTTTAGGTTTTTTTGTTTTTGTTTTTTTTTTGGTGCATTGAAAGTACGATTTGGCGGCCAGAAAGTGACCCCATTAAGCGCGCGGCCAAAACGATCATATTACATAGCTGTAACGTTGAAAACTGTTAAGACACGTCGGCAACTATAGTGGAGAGAGGAGAAATCCAGAGGAAAGGACGAACGTATTTCCTGGCTGGAGCGCCAAATGATGTTAGCTACAAGAATAATACACATATACCGAGTATTTCTTTACGCTACTTTCCAAAGGATGTAGTTGTGTGGTTAAAATGGACGCGTTTCGATCGTTGTTATCAATGAGATTTTACTCTTCAATATCATTGGCCTTATGCTCTGTACCGGCTTCGAAGATTGGTTATCTTCAGGGGAAGATAACCAATGAATTCAGCTAAGAAGAATATCGATTAAGGGGCCTGTTCCCATTCCGAACACGATTGTTCGACATTCTTTTCGGCTGGCATTTCGTAAGCGAAGAATGGTGATCCCCTTATTGCTATTTATTCCACTCGCTAGAGATGTACTTATATTCCTTGTCTTTCCGCATGACTACATTTGCGCTTTTCTTATCGTATGAAAATCAAACCAATTGTAGTTTCCATCGTATTTTAATAACAGAACTACATCATTTGTAATAAAGTTCAAACCCTTTCTTGAGCTGACCGATATCCTGTAGCGTGAACAGTGCGTAACCTCTGGCGGATATTGGCATAAACCCAAGCTCGAAACGGCCGTATATTCTCCTAACCTAGATTCCCGAAAATCCATCCCACGAGCTGTCAATTCTCCCCGCTCTTAAGAAGCTAAAAGTAGCAACAGTAGCAATGTCATTGTGATAACAGCACTGCAACGAGATAAATAAAGAAACACAAGTTTTATTGAATTAGATGGTGGCGAATCCAAGTGCTGAGTGAAAGTCGATTCATACGAAATATTCATTCACCCATTGGGCGAAATGGGTCATATGGCGATGAGGTTAACTTGAATCAGATTACTCTAAAGAAATTTTTCATCTCTCTTGAGTATGATGTATCACAACTCTCGGTAGAGCTTGCTGAAGGTAGGTTTACATCGTTATCGGTCATAATTTCAAGAGTATTTCAACGCTGATTGATACAAAATTACAAGACATGTGAGAGATTTGCGAGTGTCAATTGAGAGTTTTCAGAGTTTTCACAGTTTTCTACGTCATCACCCGCTACATTGTTTCCAGTCCACGAGACACTTTTAAGACAAAATAAGAGCACTTTAGGACCCGAAAAAACCGTGTTTTGGGCTTTTTGAAATTTTTCTTCTATCGGAGTTGGTTTGTACGTATGATAAGCTAAATATTTACGCAAAAAAAAATTTCGTGTCATGGGCACTTTAAAGGAGGGGCGCATTGGGGTCTATTAGACACCTCAAAACCGTAGGAAAAAGTGAATCAGGAAGGTGTCATAATCTCGTACCTGGATGAATACCCTAGGAATTTTTGTGGCAACCGCTCATGTTGAGGCTCGATTTTCATGTTATTTCCATATTTTGTAGACATCGCGCACTTAACAAAATTCATTGAAGTTCTTTTTCTCGGAGACATCAGAAAATGTAGGAAAATAAATTGCGCTGTGGGGCTCTGCAGTAACACAGTGAGGGCTTGAATAAATTAGCGAGCTTTGGCAGAATCGCACTCGTCACAGCAACGCAACCCCTAACTCCTTAAACTAAGAGTGACCAGCATCTAATTTCTCCTTACAATATCACATCTGAATCAAACATTAGGGTCACGACATATGAAATGATCAAGCGTACATTTGATTAGTAGTTTTTACTTGTAGTTATAGTGTATTTAATTCTTAGGATTTTAATTTTTACGGTTTTTAGAGTACTGCAAAGCGCCATGGACAATTAATGGAAGAAGGCGCTATATAAATGTATTTAATTAATTAATTGAATAAGCTCTTGAATGGTATGCAAATTCTCCTCGTCAGCGCCTTAAGAAATGTATAGAGAACAGTGTGGAGAATATGCCTGCTGATATTAGGGAGTTAATGGTTAAAAGAACTCAAGAATTTTGCGGGAAGTTCGATCGAATCTCAAACCTTCAAAACTGGAGTAAAACCGATTTTCAACATAATGCGTGAAGGTAACTCTAAGTTACTCATAAAAAGTGAATTATCTGCCGGTTTCAATTTTGTGACCTCACGATTTACTTAGAATTTTATTGACCAAGAACAGATTCCGCCTTCTGTGCAAAAGCAGGGTTACATGCTCAAAATTGGCCTGATTCTGTTCAAATCAAACACGACTCGAGGTGACCAATAATAAATGTTACATTCGGCATAATTCACGTCCACATGTCCAGCGATTTGCCACTCCCCAAAACCATCGTTTGTATGTTTTAAGGTAATTTGCGAGAAGCTGGAGGAATTTTCACCTAAGGCGACAGAGGCCGACCAAACAAGCTTCATAACTCAGTTGGCAAAAGCGATCGGAGCAAGAAAGGTTCTCGAAGTGGGTATGTTGCGTTTAAAATTGAAATAAACAAAAAAATATCACTTTAAATTATCCTCAAAGCTGAAGAAAGTTTTAATTTAAAAAGAAGTACAGGTTAAAGGGTTACTTCTACATTATGTGAGAGCAAACCTTAACTCTGAATCCTTGCTGCAAATTTTTGACAATTCACTGATTTCTTGTGGACGAAATTTGTTTTCATCTTTCATTTCTTCGGAGCTGTAGCACTTTTAATGTCTTTCTAAAATTTGTCTGATTTCCACTTCGAAACGATGAAATGCACGCTGTTCGTGACATCAATGGAATGAAAGAAAAATGAAAGAGCGGATAAAATCCGAGAGTAACAGAACATTTTATTAGAGATCCTATAAATAGATAATTGAAGACAAGAATGAGACTGGTGTCACCAGCTCACTTTTGTCCTCTCCAAGTGTGTTGATAAAGTAAAAGCAGCCATTGATATAAGCTGTGGAATCACATTTTGAGTAATATAGGAGGGCTATTTAATTTAGTCTAGCTTGTCCCAGTTAGTAGAACGAAGTGCGGCAGTGAACGACTCTATAGTAGCGGGGTTAGGAAAAAAACGAGGGAGGAATGGGTGGAACCAAATTATAATCTCTTTGCGTAGGTCTACTAGCGCTACTATCGTACCGTTTACTTCTCGCTCCGTTTGCGTGGACAGACTAACATAAGTCAAGCCAGTGCTTAGGAATAGTGGACTGTATCATTTTCGCACGCAGGGACGTTCGCTGGCACAACTTCACTTAGTATTGCACTTGTTTTACCCGAAGACGGTCAAATGGTAACAATAGATTTCAAGGAGGACTGGGTCTCCACAGGACGCCCAATCTG